ACTCACTTGGAAATAAGAAAGTAACTTGAGGTTATTTTCTGTCATCTTGCAATTTGCTGGCTCTACGAGCCAATCGTGAGAATGAGTATCATTCATCCGGTAGAAGAGAAATATTGTTTTCATTCGTCATGGCCGGCTGGATGTCTTGAAATATTGATTGGGTATATAAAATACAGAGATTAAAGTTTTTTTTTCCCTTTGTGTTTTATTGTACACCACAATGACAGTAAGTATTCATTTCTATTGTGTGTATGCTCCCTCAGCTTCCCCTGGACGTGTTCAACAATTACTTCAGCCTTGGCTTTGATGCACATGTAACCCTCGAGTTTCATGAGTCACGAGGTATGTTGCCAACTGAAACACTTGAGTCTTTTTTTTTTTTTTTTTTTCTTAGCCCAAAAGAACTCTGAAGCTAATTTGATGACGGATGCGTGAATCACTGTTTGGGCTGCGCAATATATCAAAAAATATATATATTGTCATTGCGATCATGACTCGTGCAATATGCTTTTCGCAAGGACGTGCAATAAGTTTCATATTGAATTATCTGCTTTTATCTGACTTGGACCGATCCCATGCAAGCTTAAGTGCACATCACCATAAATAGGAAAACTGTTTGGTATCTTGGGGCCTTACTACCACTAAGTCTGTCCTCAATATTCCCTATATAATGCTTTATACAGAGATGACGCCATTTTGCATGGTAGTCAGAATGTCCAGAGAGAGAAAAAAATGTAGCACACTCAAAATTACCCACAATGCACTTGGAAAAGTAGTGAATATCGATGGTCACTCAACAGGTTAATGTAGACCACAATTGATCTTAACAAGCAGGCGCATCATGACAGGTACGGCCGTTACATGATATGCGACGAGGAGCACGCAGTTAGCTGGCTGGTCCGAATCGCCAAATAGTATGATGGAAATATTTATTTCATTATACCATAAAAATGTATTTTACACCCAAATCGCATTTCAAATGTTTTTTCAATGTCATGCAGCCATAATCACCATAGTCATGTTCGAGAAATGCAAAGAGGGAACGTGACTGATGGGGTAAGAGTGCCCCCTAGCGGCTGCATTTATCGAATTCCGGGACTCTGATTGCTACATTCATTCATGATTCTAATTGTGTGTCTTGCTTGAAGTACTTGATGAAATATTCATTCATTCATTTATTCATTTTCCGATCCGCTTTATCCTCACGAGGGTCGCGGGGGGGTGCCGGAGCCTATCCCAGCTGTCTTTGGGTAGTAGGTGGGGTTGCCAGCCAATTGCAGGGCACATGGAGACAAACAACCAGCCGCACTCACATTCATACTTCGGGACGATTTAGAGTGGTCCATTAACCTGCCACGCATGTTTTTGAAATGTGGGAGGAAAACGGAGTGTCCGGAGAAAACCCACGCAGGCACAGGGAGAACATGCAAACTCCACACAGGAAGGCCGGAGCCCGAATCGAACCCTGCACCTCTGCACTGAGAGGTTGACGCACTAACCACTGGACCACCGTGCCACCCTTGATGAAATATAATTAATTCATTTTTCATTTTCTTTATTTGTTTAACCTATTTTGTATCCGATGACTTTTTTCCCCTAATATGAATGTTTGTCATTGTTTTAGAAGCCAACCCAGAGAAGTTTAACAGTCGTTTCAGGAATAAGATGTTCTATGCTGGGGTGAGTGCAAACAATCTGTCAAATTGTCAAATGCTTTTTACAATACAATACAATACAATACATGCTGATTTATATAGCGCTTTCACAACAGTTTTGTTAAACTCATCATTTTAAAGGAAAATCTTTACCACACATTTCTAGTTTGTCAAGTTAGAGGCTGAAGTAAACTTCTACTACATTATACTATACTACAGCATACTCTACTATTCCATGTTTCTCCTTTTTTCCCAACCCTTATATAATGTACATCACAGTTAAAACCATTCCTAACTTCAAGACAACCTTTTACTTCTGATTTGTGTGAACTGAATTGCTGCCCATTTGAATGATGCGTGACAGCCGCCATAAGCATTTAAGCAAGATGAAAGTACAACTTAGCTTAGGGTGAGTCATAGCAGCTCTGTTGGGTCCACAGCTTTCGGTATGTCTCCTCAGCAGAGTTATAGAGTTATTAAGGTACTTCATGTGCTAAACATGACAGTCAGTGCGGTTGGTTTGTGCATTTCCACATAGAATAATATTCTCTGCTGTGCAAATTTTTTGTCACTTTATTACTTGCTTCAGGGTAATTTTGACTGCAACAAGACTGTATCCGGTAGCCTTAATAATATCAATGTTTTTATTGTCTTTGTAAAAGATACATCAAAATTGTTGTGAATTCTCTACGGTGCTATTTAAAAAAAAAAAAATCACATTTTAGCAATAAACATTAAAAGCACACGCTGTAAGTAAGAGGATCATGTTTGCTTAGAGTGTCTAAAAATGAAGTTGTTTGAGTTTATCATATGGAGGCGACTCTGGCGTTGCCTTGGCAACCACATTGATGTATTGATTTTAGCTTTAAAAAAAAGAAGAAAAACAGGGTCAAATCAATAGGATGCTGTTCAAGTTTAATGAGGAGTGGAGCATCTCCATTGCCATGGTGACCCACGACCATCATCTGCTTTAGTGGGCTATATATATATATATATATATAT